GCAGTCAGGTGATCCATCAGTAGGGGACCTCCGTGCTTGTAGACCTCGGCAGGGATTGCGTCCGATCCGGGTGCTTTCCCGTTGGAGAGTTGCTGCACGGCCCTAATGGTCTCCTGGAGAGATGGCGGGAGGTCGAGGTCCACGTTGGTCTCCACTTGCGGCAAGCGGGCGATGGCGGCGTCGGAGATGACGGAAGGGCGGTTGAGGACGCCTCGGAAGTGCTCGGCCCATCGCTGTAGGATTTGCGTCTTCTCAGTCAGGAGAGTGCTGCCGTCGGCGCTGAGGAGAGGAGCAGTGCCCTTCGTCGGCGGACCGTAGACAGCTTTGATTGCGGAGAAGAAGTTCTTCCATTCGTTGCGGTCCGCGTACCCTTGGATCTCCTCAGCTTTGCGAGCAGTCCAGGCGTCCTGCATCTCGCGCAGTCGTTGCTGAAGCTGTCGGCGACTGCGGTAAAAGGCAGCTTTGTTGTCCTCAGTAGGGTGAAGTACGTAGGCGTTGCGGAGGCGGTTCTTCTCAGCAAGCAGATTTCTGATGGCATCGTCGTTGTCGTCGAACCAGTCCTGGTGTTGGCGGGGAGCGCGACCGAGGACGGCGAGCGCCGTCGACTGGACCGTGTCTCGCAGTTGACACCAGCGATTCTCCACGGAGGCGTTCTCGGCAGCGGCGGCGGCATCGTCGGCGGCGGCGGGATAGGGAAATTGTCTAGCCGTTGAGCTAGCTCATTGCTGAAATGGAGACGGTGAGCAGGCAAAGACAACAAAGCAACATTCAGCTTACCTAGGGGTCGCTTACCTTGTGGTCTCCTGCGAGGCTGTAGGCGAATACGCATCTTCGATATGACAAGCCGATGGTCGGTCCACCCGTCAGCACCCGCGATCGCCTTCGTCACCAGCACGTCCCGCTGATCTCTCCTCCGAACGAGGACATAGTCCAGCAGGTGCCACTGACGCGACCGAGGATGACTCCAGGTGGCCTTTTCTCGCACCGGCAGACAGCAGAACGTGTTCGTCGGGATGAGGCGGTGTTCTGCGCAGGTGCGGAGGAGAAGCAGGCCGTTGTCGTTGGAGCCGCGGAGACCGTGAGGACCCAGCACTTCCCTCCAGGCCGTATGGTCTGTGCCGACGCGGGCGTTGAAGTCGCCAAGGACAATCCACTTGTCCGCCTTCGACACAGTCGCCAAGAGGGCGTGCAGATCCTCGTAGAATTTGTCTCTTGCGGCGGCGTCGGGGCTGCTCATCGGCGGAGCGTAGGCGCTGATGATGGTGGCGAACTTGCCTCCTCGCCGAAGAGGCAGACGGAGGCTCATTAGGCGGTCGTTGATTCCCTGCGGCAAGCAGGGTAGTCGTCCCACGATGTCGGTCCGGATGGCAAAGGCGACACTCGCGTCTCGTCGCTCTGCCCTGGGTCGACCACTCCAGAAGAAGGTGTAGCCGGCACCCACCTCCTCCAGTTGGCCTTGTTCGGAGAATCGGGTCTCGCTGAGTGCGGCGATGTCCACCTTGTAGCGCGCCAGTTCCCGGTCCACTAGCGCCGTCCTCCGTTC